AGCCCTAGTATTAAGTGACAGCACCGTAATATACAATACCTATACTGCTGTCTATGCTGTAAATATGACCCAAAGAATAAAATTAAAACCGAAAATTACTCACTGCTCTGGACTGAATAACTTCCATAGCTGTAATAAGAAGATATTTCTTACTAGAATGCTGCTTCTAAATGCTCTAGTGTGAAGATAAATATGGTGTATTGTGTGGCTCACTCTGGGCGGGGTCTCTGCTAATATGGCAGTAACAGTTGTGGGCGGGGCTTGTAAAATATGACATCACATTTTACAGATTCTGTGAACGGCTTGTTCTGAGACACTGCTTATGATTCATGGGGATTAAAAAAGGAGCGGGTAGGTTTTTGATCATTATGGTGGTTGTGTACACACACTGCCAACACATTTATTTTCAAACAACGTAAACGTGAATTTTGCATATTAGGTGCCCTTTAAAAGTCGAGGAGCAAAGCTTACCAATGTAAAATTCTCAATGGTCAAGCGGTATTTTTGTTTGTTTCGTTTTTTTACATTTATGGTGGCTGGCTTAATGACTGGCTTGTACAACCTAAAAAGTTTAGATCTAGTAAAAACCATGTCTCACAACACTATATTTTCTATATAGTGTAGGATGCATCATATTATACTGGATCAATTTTAACTTTGTTTTATCGTGCCTCCAACTGGGAATGAAGGGTTTGGATACTGCATTTTAAAGTTGTCTCACCAGCATCAGGACACATGATCAGATTGCATTTCAAGCTGTAACATTCTCTTCAAATTATATTTATAGACATAACTGTATTTATTATGAAATTACCAAAAGTACCTCTACTACACACAAGTGGACCCAAATTTTATGCCTCTATTTTGTTCTCCATGTCTGTATGGATACTCAGTGCTGTAATATCTCTATGGCTCTTTGCTATTATGACTGCACACATGCAAACATACACCCCACGCATAGAACACAATATACACACTCTGCACCTGTAACAGGCCCAAAAAACAAACAAACCTTGTGTCATTCAAACTTACTGGACTGGAAATGTATCCTATTCTGCTGCAAAAATATTCACACAGATAATGAAGAGAGAAAAGTTTCTTGTTACCATAGCAATAGACTTCCCACTGCCACTAATAACAAGTGACTGAATGTGACAGAAAACGTAATGAGAGGAAAATAAATTAGCCTCAGAGTGGAACAAGGCCAATATTTGAATTTCATGGTGCAAATAACATGAAAGAGTAATCGAGAAGTATACCCACCAAAACCTCACCTTTGTAAATTAGACTTTACTCAGTCAAACAAATGAGACAGAATAAATTAATATTAGATATCAACCGACACAACTGTGCACTACAGATCTATAGGATCACTTAGAATAGTACAGCTCTATGCTGATACAGAACTGTTGTACAATGACTACGGCATACTTTAAGTACTTTGGAACTTTCTAATGTCAATTCAACTTTAAAAGGAAGGTGAAAACACAACTGTTAATGTCAAAGGCTGTGCATCCCATCCAGCTACAGGATTTTGGTGTAATCAGTCAGAAGATAGGCAAACTATGCAGATGTCAACATGGACAGGTTGTATTGCTGTACATGCACTTATTTTATATGCAAAGTAAAAGACCTAGTAAACATGGCCTACTTTGTAACAAAGATAAAAATGGTTACTGACAATCACCATGTGTTGTATGGTGAAGTATTAGCTGCTGAGATTAGTATTAATTTTTTTTTGTTTTTATGTAATATTTTTTATTATTATAAATTATGTAATTATTATTAGTTGATTGTTTACTCTTGTTCTATAAACAGTTTTCTTACCATGTTAATGAAACATTGTTTTAGGAAAGATATGAAGACATTAAAGGCATTTTAACGTCAAACAGTCACTTCCGGCGAAAATACCAGTCCATAATTCATAACAATGCTTCATCCAGTGAAAAAGTACACCCCCTGTCATCCTCTCACATCAAAATCCACCAACATATTTTAAATGTTTTGGACTGTCTTTGCTTGTAAACGGTGCTTGATCTGTGCATATTTCTCTTCTGATTCAGACAAGACAACTTTTTGAATGGAGAAATCAATATAATAGATAGATGACTTTTAGCCGGAAGCAACAGTTTGAGGTTAAAAACAACTTAATGATTAATTTGTTTATTAAGGCTTTTCATTTGACAAGATGTTAACTGATGGACTGGGGTGGATTACTTATCAGCTGTTTGGACTCTCATTCTGATGGCACACATTCACTGCAGTAGATCCAAGCAAGAGATGTAATGCTACATTTCTCCAAATGTGTTCTGCTAAAGGATGGGCTGAGGGTGAGTAAATCTTCAGAAAATGTTTATTTTTGGGGGCGAACTTCCTCAGGACAAGCCACTATCAACATCTATTTTAGAATGTCTTAGTGATGGTGCAGGTTATTTTATAAAAGAGGGGGTTTCTTAAGGCCACATATCCTTGCATGCATACTTGTACTTCCAAAAAAAAAAAAAAATAGTAACTGTAACTAGTATTATCTTACACAATTATCTGTAACAATTTACAATAAGATTTCATCTGTTACCATTAGTTAATTACATCTGTTAACTAACTATGAGGAAAAAAATCAAGCATTTATTTTATCTTAGTTAATGTTAATGTTATTTCGACATAGTAAAAAACAAAAAAAGTAGTATCCTTTAATATCATTTAATGGACCTGAGCTAACAGTTGTATTTAACAAAGAAAAATAAATACTGTAAAACAATGTTTTCATTCAAACATTTAATGCATTAACTAATGTTAACTAATGGGACTTTATTGTAAGGTGTTACCAGTTTGTCTTGTTTTAAAGGATGTCTCAAGGACATACTGTGTCAAGATACTGGACAACAAAACAGTAATCAGAGTTGGATACTTATGGAGGCTTATGACTTATGACAATCTGCTGTATCCTGCTGAGACCCTAATATTTAAGTGTTGCATTAGTCATAACAAATCTAAAAGGAAAGTAAAATGGAACAGAGAGGCTGTCCATCATTGAGCAATTACAAAGGTCTGTGACACACAGCGAATGTCAGTAAACTGTTTTATGACATTGGCTGACCTTGTGTCAGTATCTGGAGTCTGACTCGACTGATAATAGCCAGAGCTCTAAAGCCTGGGAAACTCTTGCAATACAACACAGAACTGTAACCTCATGCTGCCTGCACATGCACCTCAACTCCTTGCAAACTGCATTGTGTCTATATCAGTGATTCTCAGCTAGTGGTTTGTGATCCAAAAACGTGTGGCATAGGGTCACAGAAAAGAGGGGAAAACAATACTAAATGCAAATAAAAATGCAAATAACTGTAAAATTGTACTTGGACAAGAAAAAATTTGTATGCTTTAAAAAACCTTTCATAGTAAAGGCAAGACATAGTTCTTGTTTTTGATGTCAAAGGCTGTGTATCCAGTCACGGTAGTTTGGTGCAAATCCATCAGACAAATCTAGACATTAGACTGATGCAAACATGGAAGAGTCGTGTGACACAACCTGATCCTCAAAAATCATTAACAAAACTATGCAAGCCAAAACTCATTTTTGGCCACCTCATTCTAGAAATGTTAATTTTTGGTAATAAAATAAAACAAAAAAGAATATTCCTATAATGTTAGAAATCGGTTCCCAAAGAGAAACCTATATTAACGTTAGAGGAATATTTGGGTTCACATGCAATGTTTGGATTGTGCCAGAATGTGTGCAGCATGATATATTATTGCCTGAATGTTACATTATATACTAAATGTTAAAATTATTCATTTGAATGAATTTGAATGTTTGATTCTAGGATTTTTTTGTTTACTTCAATTAAATATTCAGTGAAAAATGTGTGTACTGAAGCAGGCCAGTTGAAAGCCACTCCTAATTGTGATTTGCATTTGATACTGATTTTGCATCCGTGCCAGAACGAGAAGCAGCTGTTCTTGTAATATGATGAGCCTCACTTCAACTTCTACCTGTATTTATGGTGCCTTGATCAGTTACAATGCTTAAAACTCCCAGGTAAAAATCTTTTATGACATAAAAGTCATAGTGTGTAGCACGCCCTCTTTTTCAAAACATGTTGTATCAACTATTTTTGTGACTTTAATAAGATTAAAGGGGTCATATGACACGATTTCATGTTTTCCTTTGTCTTTGGAGTGTTGCAAGCTGTTCGTGCATATATAAGATCCGTAAAGTCGCAAAGATTAAAGTCTCAAACCCAAAGAGATATTCTTTCTAAAAGTTAAGACTCGTCTATGCCTTCCTAAAACGCCTCATTCAAACACACCCCCACAAATCTACGTCACTGTGTGGGAATATTTGCATAACACTGGCCAAATGTATACACAACGAAAGAAGGCGTAACTTTTATTCTCGCTGTAGTATTGTTTCCACCGCTGTTATGTCGTGGAGACACTGTGTGTTTCCAAATATGGTAAGGGGCGTAACATTTCCGTCACACACATGAGGTATTCGGCCAATCACAACGCACTGGATAGCTGGCCAAACAGAGCACACCACACTTTTCAGAACAATGAGCTTTGTAAAAATCGACGCATTTCAGAAAGGCGGGGCAGAGAGGAACAACAATAATGTACGGTACATGGAAAATAATGTGTTTTTTTAACCTTAAACCACGTAAACATTGCATTACACAAAATAATGTTATTTTTAGCATCGTCATATGACCCCTTTGGTAAAAAATGCTACATAAAATCCTGTATGAGATAAAATAACAGTGAAGTAGTACTTATTGATGGCGCTGTGGGAGTACATAAGACAAAAAGAGCAGGGAAACAATGTGCTAGCGGTCATATGTAAGAGAACTGAAATTCAGTCAGTTCTTGCTGATTGATATATTATTAAATGTAAAGTAGAGTGCAGCAGAGTAACCTGATTACATACAGTAGTGCACTACATTTAGACATTGGATCTGAATAGTTGAATTGGTTTGGTTTTGAGCTCACTGAAAGGATACTGCCTTCTTTGCTTGTCTCCTGCATGCTCTCCATTCCTGGAAGGGCAGCTGCCACACGTCGAAACAGCTGCAGGAGAAAAGAGAATGCTGTTAGAGACTTCAGCTGTGACAGTAACCAGAACACTTCATACAAAAATGTTGTCTGTTAAGTCAGTGGGTAGCAAGATATGCTCTGCAACCATTTTAAAAAGTCATTTTAGAAGCAATTATGCAATTGGGTGAAAAATTTCGAAAAACAGGTTCAGCTGGTCACATGAATTTGCTGAGTTGACCAACAGAACACTGCTTGCTTTGAAATAGAGTATATAAGTAAATATCAGCATATTTTCTTGGTTATTTCCTTTATGTGGTATACTTTACATAGAGTCAAAAATACTTGGAATAGTCTTGCAACGGCCCTGTGTCATACTGTGCAGCCTTCTAGCAGCAAACATGAGCTGAACCATTTTTAAACCTGTAAAAAAGCGATTTGGAGCAAAGTGGACTTTCTCTGGTGCATTGAAGCAGACCTGCCCTGTTATATATAGTAATAGAAATGAAGATACCATGCAACTACTTCTTTTCAGAATCATAAATGTCACAGACTAAAACACCTGCTGACCTTTAAAGCGGACTCTGTGTAGAAGATGATAAAGGGACAGCAAAAAGCACTTAGTCTGGCTCTGCCTTCTAAAACTTGCGATGCATTGCTAGCATACCACTCCTAGCAGAGCAATTAATGGCCCACCACACACCTCCATTACAGCCATCCTCTATAAAGGGCTGTTCCCAGAAGCTATATGAGGCTATACCGCAATGATATATAGCCCCACTCACTCCCCATCATATCAAACAGGGCAGTTAGCTTATGCAGCCAACACCACCCCTCTCATTTCATGCCATCAATCACAGTGGACGAGCCACAGGGAAATGGGACATGCTGGACCATTAAGCAGAAAGGGTCAGAAAAAAAGACTCATTTTGTTAACTACCTTCAGGTCATTGTTTTTGACAGGAAAGACAGAGAGAGCCATAATCTAGCTGGGACAAAAACAAAAGAATTCAAAACCATTCCAATTAAGAAAAACACAGACAGGCCCATGCGTCCATGGCATACAGTGTCACATTTTTCATTTTACAAATCAGCTGTTAGCATAACAAAACTGTGTAATTGTTAGCTAACATATTTATGTACAACAACTTTTGCAATTTTATGTTCTCTCTCATTCATCTTTTTGTCTCTGTTTAGTTGCCTGTTCTTCAAAGCAATACTTGTGTTTTCTTGGGGATTCTAATACTAAATGGAGGACAATCTGTTTTATATAGAGCTACCTATAACCTAACCCTAATAGAAAACTTGCTACAGTTTTACAAAAAATACAAAAATAAAATTTTATTTCCTTAACATTTTGTACTGTTTTTACAAATGATGGTGTCCCCAACATAATGTTTTGGGAGGTTTGTTAGTTTTAGCTCACTTATGGGTACAAATTTGTCCTCAAAATACGGTTCAGTAGCTCCACACATGTAAACACACTTCACTGCATGTAAAATAACCACTTCATTGGTTTTCAAATTAAGACTGAGAAGAAAATGAATCACTTTATTATACTATACTAAAGTATGGACTTTTTCAAAACTGAAAATAAACAATGTTCTTGCTATGCATCTATAATGAAACTTAATATTATTAGCAATGAAACACTGGTATACAACAAATGACCCTATCATCATCATCATCAAAACTTGTTGAGCATTGTATTATTTACACAAGATTTCAATTTCATCCTGGAAAGGATCTGACACCCTGCAATTCTTCAATCAATGTTTGAGTCATTATTTTGTAATTACCTCTGCGAGGTAATCAGTTTAACTAATGTTGTTGTTATTGGAGAAATAAATAAGAAAATTTCAGTATTGATCGTAATCTCAGATGAATTCAGTTCCCTGCTCCAGGCAACACAAGTCTGCAAGCACATGCTCCAGTCAACCACACACACATACATGTGCAACAATGTAAAGGCTTGGATTTGAGAAATTATCTGTTTGTAATGGAGACTGGAACAAGTCAGCTCCACGTTTGGTGACAATAATATGTTGTGTCAGAGATTTAGAGTCTTTTAGTGTTGTCTTGTACTGTCAGTGTTAAGCTCCTGTGAAACAGTGATACATGGCTTTGAGAAGAATAAAGGCTTAGTGTCCAGTACAGCTGATGGAACAATGCACAATAACACAGCTTCTTAATTTTAAGAATGACAGGACTATAAGCCTCATGTGTTTTGTGTATGTTTCAAACTGTAATTGTAAAATGGAAAGTTCTGACTCTAAATTCTGATCGGAAGATTGTGTTCAAAGCAGTTGTAAAATAAACCTGACTGCACATTTTATATTAATAAAGTATGAATATAGGTTTATTAATATTAATAATTAACACTGTTGACTATTTTATAACATCACATCTCTATCTCTCCCACCTCAGTGCTTAGTCATCCTGAATCATGCTTTCAACTGCATCTCAGAAGAGGAATCAGAACAAACGCAGAGCATTTCTCATACCTACACGCTGTGGCCGCTCTTTCCACTGACAGAGTGAGGTGTTGAGGTAAAACTCACCTGTTTGACATTGTAGCCTGTCTTGGCACTGGTCTCGATAAACATCACACTCAGCTCCTTGGCCCGCTGCTCGCCTTCCTCAATCGTGATTTGCCTGTTAAAAGGTTGAAGATTTTTATTCATGAGTTTATTTATAAAATATTATTAAACTGTGATGACCCCTGCTGAAAAAACATGAATTTCCACTCTGGTTTAGTGATGGTCTGGATGATCTATCTTTTCTTTCTTTTAACAAATAAATTACATTTTCCCATCCAGTAGATATATTATACTCACATTTTCTACTCAATTATAGTTTTAGAGCTTAGAGAATGTATATTCGTAATAAAAATGCACTTAATTATACATATTTTAGACAGTGGAAAATCTTTCTTTAAAGAAAAAAATGTTGTTTTGGAGCGTAAATTTTTTTTTAGTTTTAGTTGTTTGTTTAGTTTTTTTTTTGCCTTTTTTGTATATTATATTCACCTTATTTTATATATCAAGGTCCCCTTGGATGTTTGCCGAGTCCCCCTAGTAGACCCCGGGCCCCTGGTTGAGAACCAGTGTAACATAGTATGTTTTAAAAGAGACAGATATTCGGGGGGAATATTTTTAAGAATCATTTCAAAAGCATCAAAATGGGTATATTTTAAACATGTGGCATTAACAGCTCAAGTAATTGGCTCAAAAACAATTGCGTCCAGAAAAGAGCGCAAAGATTGCAGATTTTATATCAGATTTTGTGCACCAGCTGAGCAACAGACATTTAGATGAATGACAATGGGCTGAAGAATATTTTCTCCAGACCTCCTTGGTCGAGAGACAAGCATACCAACGTCAAAAACACAACACATGCTGGTGAGCAGCTACTGAATACTGGTCTTGACAGGAGGGATTCCATGAAGAATAATGGCAAAGAGAGACCACATTACCAGGACTGCACATGCATAATCATTCTGCCAGTAATGGTGACCACTATCACGAAACTGCCCAGCCTTGACAGTAGCCCAACAAGATATATGAAAACAGCAGAGGCGGACAAAGTACTCAACTCCATTACTTGAGTGAAAGTACAGATACTGCTGGTCAAATATTACTCCATTACAAGTAAAAGTTGTAAAGACAGATTTTTACTTAAGTAAAAGTACAGCAGTACTTGCTTTTAAAAGTACTTAAGTACCAAAAGTAAATTTCCTTTTTTATGTCAATGCACTGTTTTATTGTTGTACGTAATACTTGCAATACTTCTGAAGCAACTTACAATACATTACACCTACTAGCTTGTAGTATCTTTGGAATAAAGCGCTTTTAGAACGTTAAAAACCTATGGGGGAAAAATTAACACCCTATACCCACCCCCACAAAAGCAGGATGGTAGTGATCTCGCACAGCTCTGACAGGGTGCCCACATCTATGTGTAGCCATTCATCCACATTTGAACAGAGTGGACAGTGAAATCCTGTAAATACAGAGTGATAAAAAAGAAAGAAAAATCAAACCTGCTTTAAAACCCAGCAACACAACTGTAGCTGTACAACTTTACAACAGCAACACTGCTTTAACAAAAAAGCAAAACAATCGCTCTCGCTGTACTTTGATGTCACACAGAATGGTTTGCAGTGCTGCTTCAGTCAAACACCT